CCAAATCCAATTTGGTTTGAAAGAAAGCAACCAGAAGGGAGTTCTACAAGCTAGAAGTGCGATTGAAGAAACTCTTAGAATAAAACTTACGGTTACATCTAGCCGGTTCAACTGTAAAACGATGAGACCTTGATAACAATCTAGCACTGAGCGTAAATTTATAAGGTCTACGTAGCATAGAGTAGGGTTCATCAGAACAATTACCATGGAAGTATTTATAGGAAAGTGTTATATACCGTACATATGAACACTAATGGACATTATTGTAAGTGACGGCAATATGCTGCCTAAGTTGGCAGAGTGAGCTGTCAGCGTGGGAAGCTCTTGCCGTGTCGAACTCTCTGCCTTCAGGCTGAGAGGAAACCGGAAGAACCTATGGCGAAGATACCCGATCCCACGTATGCGGTGTCTACGGGCAATTTTTGCCCGAGCCCGCTCGGATTTCCTCACATTAAATTTGGCCTTATGCCGCATCCTATCCCGTGGGGAGGCAGGTAAATATCGTAATATGCTGTCTACGCTGGCAGCGGGAGCTGGCAGCTTTGTAAGCTCTTGCCGTGTCGAACTATCTGCCTTCGGACAGAGAGGAACACGGACGAAGCTATGCCGAAGGGCAGAGTCTCGTCTGGGGAGGTATGCGGGTTATACGGGCAATTTTTGCCCGAGCCCGTGGGATCGAATTTCCTCACATTAAATTTAGCTTGTGTTGCATCCTACATCGTGGAGAGGCTGGTAAATATCGTAGTCCACCATTAGCAGTGGTTTACCTATTTCATGCTGCTGGCGAGTGTTGTATCTTGTAGATGTTATTAAGATTACCATTTAATTTGCAAACTCTGTTTTGATTATTCCTCATTCAGTAACCCTTCCTAGGTTACAATAGAAAAACAAAGGTAGGCTACGTTTGTTGACAATTTTGTGTCCAATTGCCACTAGTATACATCAATTTTATCCTTTCCTCACATTCAATCGACGTTTTAATCTCTATGCTCGGCTAGAAATCTAGCTCCACCGAATACAAATCACCTAACAAATCAGTTAGCGTAGGTCTCGTCAGTAGGGTGTGATAGTGCGATTTTTTTCGCAAAGGGAAACTACCCCCAGAGACTTTAAAATAAGTATGTCCACTGTTTTCGCGGAAAAACAGCATAGCGTAAATGAAAAATGCCACAAACTTAAAGAAAATAAAGTATTATCGTCAAAATGCTTATGTTATTATTAAGATGAAAGAAAAAAGTATTTTTTAATTATTTTTTGAAATTTTTTAATATTTTCTAACACGTTCGAAATTTTGGTTAAAGTCGTCTTTGTTTACGTCATCGTGGTGACGTTTAAAATAACATAGTTTTTTTTTTGCGTTTTTTTACCGTTGAAATCATATTGATTTGGAAATTCTTGTAAAAATAAAATAACTGTCCAATCTTAATGAAATTTTCAGGACTTATTCACAAATGAATGAAATTATTTTTGAAATATTTTGTTTTTAGAAAATTTTGGTAAAAAATATTTTTTTTAAATATGTTACCCCCCCACTTAGTTAATTTCATGAAATTTCGCCCAAAACATTTTTGGCTCCTCAATTTTATTTTTTTGTTAAAAGAAGGAGTCTTTGGAGATGCTAAATAACCTACTTTTTTTTTCAAATTTGATCTACTTAACTGAAAATCTTGTCTGGATTGAAAAATAATGAATCAATAAAACTATGATATTACTTAATTAGAAAAGCTTTTAATTGCTTTTGTAAATAAGTAATATTAAGGACATTATTGTCTGAAGAAATAATTTTTTTTGATGAATAATTAATTTTTACAAGAATTTTTTCGTTTTTTAAGAAATTTTAATTATAATAATTTATAATAGTTTAACATCGTGTAAAGCTTTGTATTAGGAGGGCTCCTCGATATTATGTAGTAGTTAAGCAGAAAAAAATTACGAGTCCAAAATTGCTAAGTTTAATAAATTTAGTTTCGCTCCTTTTTAAAAAAATAATTTTTTATGTTGTATTTTTTACTTAATACATTACTTATTTCCATGTATGATATACAGAAATTGCCATTATTATAACAAGGTCACGTGATCTAAGGGTTTTGTCCCTTTACGTGGCCTTTTCAAAACATTTCGTTTCTTACAGGTTGTATTTTCCGTTCAGCTTTAAAAGTGTAAACTTTAAATTTTAAATTATTTTTTCTTTTTTTCATTTACTATTTCACTAAATAATTTCATTTTATGTATTGTATTTCCATTAGTGTGTGTCATACTCAAATAGAATATTTTTTTTAAAAACTCAGACTTAAAAATTATGTCATTTATGGTCATCAGTAGTAGCTGTCATCGGCTCGTCATTGAACAATCATCAATAGATCGATCAGATGAACAGGATCGCTCGTTAATAATTGGTTGTATATTATTTTTTTATGCTATAAGTAACAAAGATTTCTTTGAAATCAGATTACTTTAACTTTAAATTTTTTTAATTTTACTAAAATAACGTGTCAGAATTTTTTTAAATATTTTAAAAATCGATAAATTTGTTTGTTTACAAATTTCTTAAAATTAAGAAAATGGCCGTTTTTAAGAAAATTTTAAAATTTGACAATCAAATGTATATAGTTTCTATCTGAAATACACCAGAATTGTTTAATTAATAGAAATCGTAAATTTAATTATTAAACTTTCAAATAAAGCTAAAATGAAATCTTCAAGAATGTTTTTTCGTTGTAAAAAATTCATTTTAAATTTCAATATAGAAAATTTATGCCGAAATAGTGGAGGTACTTACTTTAAAATATAGATCGTCCATATATGAAACCTGATGATTGTTTGTTTACAAAACTTCTTTCATCTCAAAAATCAATCATCTTTCTTACACACTGGAGCTATGCGAGATTCCGATCCGTGCATGTTAATCAGGTCTTTTCTATTTTCAGTAATTTCAGGCACGTTTTCGCCGGTTCGTGTTCGGTAGCAGGTGAATCTCGTCAGTACAAACATTTCTATAATTTTGACCCTGCGTTAGTCAAACGGTTGTTTTGCTACCACAACATTTTTTTAAAAAGTACTCGTAATTTCTAGTTGGCATCATGTTTCTAATTGCTCACCCCACTGGTCTACTGCCCCTGTGAGAGTGTGTAGCACGCGGTGTGACTCAGTTGTCGCGAGAAGCAGACGCCATTTTCGGAAATCCAAGGTCACTAACGCAGGGTTAATATTTTTACTTAGTCCGAGTTTGCGTTCAAGTTTCCATAATCTGTGTCTGTGTGCCACTGAATGCCTACATATTAAGTCAATTGTTTCCAAACATCAATTGGCCTTTTAGGCTCTTCCCTGAGCTGAGAATTCAACTCCACCGATGACAGATCATGTGACAGACATGTTACCATTGGTCGAACCAACATGACCAAAGTATTGAAATCTATACTATGAATGGTTTTCGTAGGCATATACATACGGATGTGAACAACGTCTGTACTCTACACACGATTATCTTCAATGTTTCTTACGGTTACCTTAAGTCAGGACTTCTTAAACTGGGGTACATGGCTAGGTTTCACGGGCTCCGTGAGAATCAGGTAATAATAACATTTATATTAGTTATACAGCTCTTGTTCTAATCAACAGAAATAAAAGACAATACATTCTGCGAGGCTTGAAAGAAAACAGACCCAGCCTTTACTTACAGCGGCGACTACTACGTGTCTCTTGACTTGCTGTTGGGTCCATGTTTACCATTAAAATGTGTTTCATCATTCTCTGCCCGACCGCCATCTTTTGCCACCCCATAAGAGCAAGTGATAATTCTCATTTTCCACGGGTTATCAAGGATTCTGGTATTAGCGAGGATTAATTAACCAAAATTTCTGTCAAACGTGGCTGGCTGAAAGCTGATGTGTGAACATGGCTATACACTATGGAGAAATCCACGTACAAGTGTTGTGAAAAACTAATCAAGCTGTATGTATCTGCTGGCTTGCTTATCTGTCTATGAATGTTTAGTTCTCATAGAGGATCATGACTCAATGGGACCTTGTCACAATAAAAGTTAAGAAGTAGTGGTCCATTTACCGATTTGAAGAACTCATTGAATCCACAACATCGATCATACTTTTCAGGACGTAATCGATCAACCAATACCATAGCAACACAATAGCCAACACAATAGCATTATTTATACTGATTGTACAAATAGTTCATTATTCCGGATCTCTGCAAGTATCATAGACACGTGTTCCTGAGATTAAAAAAAAACAAAATTCGTAAACAGGTGCCAAGATCGCCTGAAGCTTTCTGGAATCCACTCTTTCTTGTCTAAATTTATTGGTTCCAATAACCAATAAATCAGACAGTTATGTGACATGCGTGATATGTTTAGCCGATCATATGTCTTTCGATACATGACTGACGAGGCTGATTTTTCCCGCAGTAGGTTGCCATTTCTTTCTGCGGTAGACCAGTTGCGATCCAAGGCTATAGAACCCAATCTGTCCTGCTATGTACTCACACCTGGGTGGGGGAGAGAAGATTCATATCTTTCCCAAGGGTATTAGCGCGTAATTAAATATCAGTTCAGTTATGTGACATGCGTGATAGACACATAGGTGATAATTTATCTTCTGACACATGACTGACGAGGCAGATTTTTTTGCGCAGTAGGTTGCCATGTAGACCATCTAAGGTTATAGAACCCGGTCTGTCCTGCTATTTACCCATAGCTTGGTGGGGGAGAAGAGGATTCATACCTTTCCCAAGGGTATTACCACGTAGGTGAATGTAATGGATTCGACTGGAATTCGAACTCGGCTCCTCAATCCGAGCCGCTATCCATTACGCCATCGAATGGAAAATGCCACCGAACATCTGTCGTGCTGAACTCTATTACACGCACAAAATTTAGTGAACCTCTTCAGCTGGCACACTACGAGAAATTACAATATTCGCTCGAAGACGCAAAGAATACTACAGGACACTGTGTTTGCAGTAAGCATCCAGAGTCTGGAGAAAGCTTACGGCCACATCATGTAAAACGCCAATTCCAGTACGAATCACCGAAGTTAAGCAACGTCGAGCCAGGCCAGTACCTAGATGGGTGACCGCTTGGGAATACCAGGTTCTGTAAACATGGATTTGTGGTTGGCAGGATGTGTTAGATCCAGTTCGAGCTGAGAAATGAGTGAACCAATTTCTCATCTAATCACTGAAGTTAAGCAATGTTAAGACTGGTCAGTACCTAGATGGGTAACCGCTTGGGAATACTAGATGCTGTAAGCTTCAACGTGTGGGTGGTGAGATGTCTTAGAAACAGCTCGAACTGAGAAATGAGTGAGCTTATTTCTCATCCAATCACCAAAGTTAAGCAAAGTTGAGCCTGGTCAGTACCTAGATGGGTAACCGCTTGAGAATACCAGGTACTGTTAGCATGGATTTTTGGTTAGTAGGATGTGTTAGAAACAGCTCAGGATAAGAAATGAGTGAACTAAATTCTCATCCAATCACTGAAGTTAAGCAATGTTAAGACTGGTCAGTACCTAGATGGGTGACCGCTTGGGAATACCAGGTGCTTACACGTGCGTCGGGTGAAATGGATATCGGCTCGGGATGAGAAATCCAAGAGTCGAGTACAAATTTCAGTTTGCTTTGTAGCATTCACTTACTTGGGAAAATATGAATCCACATCTTTCCTGGTGTTGATGAGAGATGAAGGTTTGCATAAACGGATCGTTGGTGCAAAATGTTTGAAGACCCGTTATACACTGAGAACTTTTAAGAATTCAACGTTTTCATTTAATCACCAGATTTATATATATGGCATTGCTTCTCGACGACATCGTTCCTTAAGTAATATTCATATTTTTATATTCTGGGTGGTCGAGCGGAAGAGGAAATGGTTGTCAGATATTTTATCTGATTGGACGTGACATAATCAACTTAATGTTTGCGAATGATGATATGAAAACAGCAACAAAAACAATAATAATAATAATAATAATAATAAATAAATAAATAAATAAATAAATAGACTCATTGTTTCCTGGTAGCCCATGTCACACGTAAAGCACACACATTACGAAGAGCTTTATCTATGTAAAATGTGCGTTATCTCGGGTTTTTTTTTTTTTTTTTTTTTTCGAAAAAATGTTCCTTGGAAAATGTCATGAAGCCATTTTCGCTGGTTGGGACCCGGAAGGAACTGTGTATGCAACAGAAATCGTAGGAAAAAAAAAAAAAATAATAAAGATGATAATAATAATAAAGATAATAATTTTAACAATAATAATAATAATAATAATAATAATAAAGTGCTTTTAAAGCATGCAAAAAGTGCCAGTGATGATTTTCGCATGGAATCTGGTTTAAATAATTGCGTAAGGACCACCTTCAAGCAAAGAAAGATTATTAATAGCGATAATATAATTCTATAGATACAGTGATTAAGGAATTCGAGCAGGAAGTTAATCCAGCTGGTAAGAATGAAGATAATGAAATACAGCATTTGAATACGAAAGAAAAAAATTCAGATAGGAGTAAATCAGGCGAGTGGGTGTAATATTGAAAACTGAATTGAATTTGTAAATTAAAATAACGCTCATTAAAATCCGTGCTATTCCAGCTGTTAATTATCTCTTTTTTCATGCGACATGTCCCATCAACACAAAGGCTCTCCACAATTTCATGGCCTTTGTAGTTTTTTTTTAAATTTTAACTTTTTGTTATTTTTTCTAAATCCGCCACCCATTTTCTAAGTATGTTATGCGTTGTTTTCCACTGCCTAGCTGTCTTCAATCTGTCCTGTGAGTATCAAATTTTACAAGTCCTCTTTCCTCATTATGTGCCCTAGGAATTTCAATGGTCTCTTCCTGATGTTAAGTATAAGTGTCCTTTTTGTTTCCATTGCTTCTAAAACTTGCTAGGTAGGTTATGCATTGTTTTCCTCTATCACTCTTTGCCTTCAATCTGTCCTGTGAGTATCAAATTTTCCAAGCCCTCTTTCCTCATTATGTGCCATAGAAATTTCAACTGTCTCTTTCTGATGTTAAGTATAAGTGTCCTTTTTGTTTCCATTGTCTCTAAAACTTGCTACGTAGGTTATGCGTTGTTTTCCTCTATCCCTCTTTGCCTTCAATCTGTCCTGTGAGTATCAAATTTTCCAAGCCCTCTTTCCTCATTATGTGCCATAGAAATTTCAACTGTCTCTTTCTGATGTTAAGTATAAGTGTCCTTTTTTGTTTCCATTGTCTCTAAAACTTTGCTACGTAGGTTATGCGTTGTTTTCCTCTATCCCTCTTTGCCTTCAATCTGTCCTGTGAGTATCTAATTTTCCAATCCCTCTTTCCTCATTATTTGCCCTAGAAACGTCAAATGTCTCTTCCTGATGTTAAGTATAAGTGTCCTTTTTGTTTCCATTGTCTCTAAAACGTGCTAGGTAGGTTATGCGTTGTTTTCCTCTATCCCTCTTTGCCTTCAATCTGACCTGTGAGTATCAAATTTTCCAAGCCTTCTTTCCTCATTATGTGCCATAGAAATTTCAACTGTCTCTTTCTGATGTTAAGTATAAGTGTCCTTTTTGTTTCCATTGTCTCTAAAACTTGCTACGTAGGTTATGCGTTGTTTTCCTCTATCCCTCTTTGCCTTCAATCTGTCCTGTGAGTATCTAATTTTCCAATCCCTCTTTCCTCATTATTTGCCCTAGAAACGTCAAATGTCTCTTCCTGATGTTAAGTATAAGTGTCCTTTTTGTTTCCATTTTCTCTAAAACGTGCTAGGTAGGTTATGCGTTGTTTTCCTCTATCCCTCTTTGCCTTCAATCTGACCTGTGAGTATCAAATTTTCCAAGCCTTCTTTCCTCATTATGTGCCATAGAAATTTCAACTGTCTCTTCCTGATGTTAAGTATAAGTGTCCTTTTTGTTTTCATTTTCTCTAAAACTTGCTAGGTAGGTTATGCATTGTTTTCCTCTATCCCTCTTTGCCTTTAATCTGTCCTGTGAGTATCAAATTTTCCAAGCCCTCTTTCCTCATTATGTGCCCTAGAAATTTCAACTCTTGCTAGGTAGGTTATACAAGGGGTATAAAGTGAGAGCAGGAGTAAAGAGGGTTGTTTGAGGAAAGGACATAGAGAAGGACGGGGATTAGGATCAAGGCATCAGAAGATGTCGATTGATATTACATTTGAATATTTGAAGGTCTTACCTATCAGGGAAGCAAGTTAGAGGGAGGGAGATCCACAGAAGGGAAGTTGGAGATAAGAAGATATTGGAGTAGAAGAGACGGCTACATTTAACCGTTTCGAGATGCCAACCTAGTAGCACGCTTAAATTCATGCAGCTTGGAAACAAGTAAAACCATATCACCAGAACAGCTGCTAGGAAAATACTTGTAAAAAAGACAGAGGGAAGTCATATTACGTCGGTGTAAAAGTGACTGTAGACGAGAAGACAGGTTAGGACCTATCAAAATGCATATCCATCTCTGGATTTTGTCGAGGACCTCGAGATGAACAGCAGGTTGTTCGACCTGTTGTCCTTATCTTTATTTTACGTTTCGGCCGTTGTACTCAGAAAACAGCTTTGCTCTGCCTAACCTGTGTGAAGGGATTATCGGAGCAAATACAAAACATCTGTGGTCCATATAACAACAGGACGACCTTCAAAAGTGGTTCGACACTTCGCAGACACCTCTTCCGAGTAAAACCCACCCACAGAAGAGAACATAACTGTTGTGGCCTGTTTAGGGGCCAGAGAGAAAGACACGGAAGACGAAGTTAGGTTGAAAAAGTATATTGAAGATATATACAAAACAATAGTGTTAGTAATAAGTAGATTAGCACTGCGTCTACTACTCCACTTCACTTCACACTCTCTGGTATCCGACTCTCGCAGTATTTATGAGAGGAGGAAGAGTTCATTCTACTGTAGGAGGGTTTACCACAACAATAACTAAGAACTGTATGTACGCCATCCCGTGCAGCTGTGATAAGAAATATAATTGAGAAACAGGTCGAACCCTTATGATAAGGCTGCCAGAACATAGTAAATGCGTAAAACGTGATGAAATACAAAAATCAGGCGTAGCTGACTACATATGGAGGGAAAAGGGAGATCACCGCCTCCTGTGAGATGAGGGTGGAATAATAGACAGAGAACATCACTGGAATATACGAACGCATAAGGAATCAGCACATATGCTAGCCCAGAAAGATCCCGTAAGCCATGCAAGCATAGAAATAAAAACAATATGGGAACTAGTAATACGGAGTGCTAGATAAAAGCAATAATAATGACAACAAAAATTGCAATATGAGCTCTGATGAAAAATGATTACTGAGACATTAAGTTTATAAGTCCTCAAAATTCATACACTGATATCCTCATCCGGAAGAGGCATGGCACGTTGAACTAGAACAATCTACCCGATGGACGAAATAAAGGGTTCAGTTCCAATCAGCTGAAAAAGGGCGGAGCGTACAACGTCGTGAATATGACAATAAAGATGAGGAGAATATCGGAGGACAAGCGTTAAAGTAGACTAGCAGCATGGCCCGGCGTTGCCCGTGCTTGATTCAAAAATCGTACGACTCATACAGCAATCGCTATCACTTGACTTAAAATATTTTTGCCCTTCTTTGCCTTTAAACGAGTGCCCTTTGCCGTGCTGATGTTGCTACATGACTTACTTCTTGCCTATCTCACACTGCGAATTTTTTCTAAGCTATATGCTAAACATTAAATCCGTTACAAAAAAAGAACTAAACAAAATGAACACAAAACGCTCAGCTTTAAAAAATGACTCGTAACTGGAAAAACCGAATGAAAAAACAATGTTAACAACAAATACTTTTTCACACAGTTTTCTGAAATGTTGAAATTGGTCATACTACTTGGGCGGGGTTGTTGTTGCCCTTGTTTTGTTAACACGGTACTTTGGAAACCATATTTGATCCGATTTTAAGTTCAAATAAAAAGAGCTCAAAATTGTTTAACAACGCGACGTCAACTTTTCAGTAAAGACGCGAATAAATGAAGTGCTTATTGTGGGAAGATGCGACGATTAAAGCAAAAGTGTTGACAAAGTCGAATATTTCATTTTGGCTCAAGGTCAGACCTGGTAGCAGGGATAAAAAAAAAGCCGAATTTCAATGGCCCTGGACTAATTCCAGAATTTGAGGTAAAATGTTTTCTTCCACTCCACTGCACGCACTGACCTGTTTCTTCCCGCGCATAGCGTGACCTTAAATTAATCTACATTTAGGAAATACCCAACCGGAAAAACATTTTTAAGGGTTGGCCGATTGTCGATTTGCACTCTGTTTGGGGCTGCTCAGAGTTGAAACTTCACATGGTGACTCCCAATGGCCGCCTTATAAATCCGGTTGGTTCAGGCGCAATCTGGGCGTATCGTTTTTTGGGTTTTATCGATTT